GCTCGGCGCTCGGGCTTGGTGTCCTAGCGCTGCGGTTCTCATGGTCACGTTTCCTTTTTTCCCCTCCTCAGAGTGCCATTAAGGGGAAATTGCAAGAATTAGGAGCTTATGTTGGTAAGTTTTATTGTCTTTGGCCCAATACAATTTAGAGTTTGCAAGGTAATTTTAGTGATTGCAGTTTTCACATCTACCGACGGACAGTGTTACCTTTTTACTCTGCCGTCTTTAAATCTGATACTCCCTATTTTGTTTAATCATCATTTTATTGAACGGTCTGTGGGTAACCCCCCATTCCCCTTTCAGTACTGATTTGAAATAGTTTCCTTTGCTGAGGCTCTTAATTTTCTATAGTTTTTTATTGAATTTTGTTGTTATTCCTGTTCTTGTTGCTTTCCTTTTTACGTTGTATCCTCAGAACTGTCACTTTGTATATGAATGTTATTTTGTGGCATTTACTTTATAAATGGCTCAGTGAGTTTTATTTTCAAACACTTTATATACTTTCTTTCTTGCAATAGTGAGGAGTGCTTTTTTCCTCTGTTCTCTTACCGTTTTTACTCGGGACCAGGCACTGTGCCTATTGTGTGTGTGTATGTACACAATTAACTCATGATAATCCCCAGGAGAACCTTGAGAGGTAAGTGGTAATATTCCCAATTGTATAGTTAGGAAAAGTGAGGGCTTTCCCTATTTTATGATTGGGTCCAGGCTGTGAAATGTAGGCAGACGCTCAAAAAAAAAATTTTTTTTTAAAGGCCTGAGGATGTAGTCCAATGGGAAGGCACCCTTGCCTGATGACCTTAAGGCTATAGGTTTAGTCTCCAGTACTGGAAAACAAAGTATCTATTACTTTGGGAGAGCTGTTCCTAACTGTGTGAGTCCCTAAGGAACTTTGAAGTCAAAACTGTTTCCATGTTAATACTAAGAAGATACTTGTCATTTTCACTGGGTTTGCATTTTGATTATACAAAAGGAATTAGTAATTTAGTCTCAACAGTATAATCTTGTCAGACTACTACAGATTATATTCAAATCACTCTCCACTTGCAAACTTTTAAAAAAGCCTGTTTCTTTGTTTTTTGTTTTAAATATTTTACTTTGAGACGGTCTTGCTGTTTTCCACGCTGGGCTCAAACTTTGGGCCCTTCTGCTTCAGGCTCCCATAGAGCTGGGATTACAGGCATGTATCACATCTGGTGTAAGAAAAGTTTGTTTCACTTGATGTCATTGATGAGCTAGGCATGATAGATAGCACACACCTGTAATTCCAGCTAGTCAGGAGGCTGACACAGGATTTGAAAATTCGAGATCCTGTCTCAAAAATGAAAAGGGCTGAGGACATAGGCTCGGTGAGGTAGTGCTTGCCTTTCAATAATGAGGTCCTGGGTTCAATCCCTGCTACCACCAAAAAGTAACTAAAAATTTTTAAAAAGAATGTCATCGGTGGAGCAGTAAAAATATTTTTTAAGCCCTGGCTTTTCTTTTTTTTTTTTTTTCTTTTTGGCAACGTGGATCGAACTCAGGTCCTTGCACTTGTGAGGCAGGTGGTGGAACCACTAAGCTAAATCCCTGGCCCAGCCCTGGCTTTTCATTACATCTTTTTAACCTGTTTCTGAGGGAATAGAATTGCTCATAAAGTACCAGTGATGATTATCATAAGGAAAGGCATTGGTATGATTGAGTTGAGAACTAGCTGTCTTTTTCATGAAGTATAGCGGACCCTCAAGTTATGACCAGCTTGTATGAACAACTTGGGGGGTTAATTAGGGTAATGGAAAATTCATGTGCCTCTCGTTATCTACAGCATGTACCCAGAGAAACACCCAGACCTCAGCTGTATTGACTTAGTTACAACTAGCCCTTGGGAACAGATTGAGTTCGTAAGTCACAGGTCCACTGTGTCATTTTTAAGTTATAAGAACTGATGAACTGGTTATGTAGACTTGGATATTTGGTCGTCATAAGAAAACAGCTGACAGCCTTTGTTGAACTTTTAAATGAAAAATAGAATTTTGGAATATTTGTATCTGTCTCCATGAGCTTGATAGCTTCCAGTGCTGAAAGAATTTCTGGTGAAATCATGCAGCTGTTGTCAAATACAATTTTTATGTGGCCCAGTGAAATGTGTCAATATGTTGGTGGTCCACTAGCTTCGTGAACCAGTGTTTTCCTAGTGATCAGTGCATAATGTTAAAGAGAGGTATTAAAACCAGAGGGTAAATCACTAGGTGTTCTTGTAATGGTGTCAAAAGGTAACTGATGTAGTTTTAGATTGCACATTGGCGTTAACATTGAAGAAATTCCCCTTGTTGAGTTTTAGTGTCTTATCACAGAATGGCTCTGTTATCTGTTCAGATTGTTAGCATAACTATTTTTCTAGCTGGCACTCTGGCAGGCTGAGGCAAAAAGATTGCAAGTTTAAGTACAGCCTGGGCAACTTAGTGACTTAGCGAGACCTTATCTTTTAAAGGGAAGTTTATGTAGCTCAGTGCAAAGGCCCTGGGTTCAA